TTTTGAGACACTTGCAACACAATAAGGTCATATGTGCCGAAGATAAGAGGTGTTACAAGCGAGTGACACACATGAAATAGAAATAGGAGAGATCAGGACGAGAGATGTTTGACAGGAAACAAGGAACAAACTACACCAGATGCGAGCACCCGACAACCACCCATAGTCAACGCAGTGTAAAAGGGGCCAAAAACATACACCGTATAATAAATGTATGTTCTTTACAAAATAACTCGGGTGAGCTCTTCGTGTGAAATAAAGCTAGGTTGAGTAATCAAAACAAGAACGGTACATTTCCCCTCACCCTATAAAGGAATACAGAATGAATGCATGTTCGTTATGGCATTATTAAGTTTAAATCAAAAGTATTTGCCCCTCCCAATCACACAAACCCCCAACACACCCAATCACACACACATTCTCCGATACACAAACAAACAAACACACTCACACACACACACACACACACACACACACACACACACACACACACACCCATATTCAAAAACCAAACCACACTCGTAAACCACCTTAAAAAATCGCATCAGAAACTACTGTCGAACTGGTGGTGTATTAACTCTAAAAAAATCGGACCAGATCAAATCGTGTCCATTAAACAAATTCCACAACTAAATTGGACACGTGTCTACCCTACTAACTTGGAAGAGAATGAGACCACCACGGGTCGAGGCTGGGCTGAGGGCTCTAGGCTGATGTTTCCAACTCCAGACACCTCGGGAAAGAGCACATAAAACCCGTCCTCGCGATAGAGACACCCCAACACGGGACATGCCACCACTATCTCGTACGGCCCCTTATCACCAGAACCAACTCTCACAAAACTTAATGACAAGCCAATGTTCTGTTGACGGGAGGCTCGCGCGGGGAAAGGTGACATACTCCAATTTGAATTTATTGGTGATTCGGGTTTGATGGCACGCGTAGAATGTGGAGAAGGTCGCCTGTGGTTTCCCACCAGACCAATTTGTTTCCCGCGATCAGGTGTGATTGGCAGGAAGAGTAGAGAAAGGAAGGGTAATTAATTGCGTGAACTTCTCTCTAATCGCCTGTCTCAGAAATGCACAGGTGCACGACCCCTATTGTGATTTTTAGATGCATGGGCAGTTGCCGGTTTCCGGACCATTCACTGTTAAGTTTTGCTTCGTTTTGTTTTGTTGGTTTCTTCTTCAAATTAAGACGATTACGCGAGGAAACGGACAGTGGTATTCATTGATGTACATTTTTTAAATTTTTATATTTTTATTTTATTTTTTTATTTTTTATTTTTTTGGGGGTGTCTTTGTTGGTCTTTCTCAAAAATAACATTGTTTCGCTGATTTAATTTTGTTCATCTCAATAATTGTCAAAAAGGAACTTGGCCAGACATTTTGGCGCTTTTTAAAGAACCGTTCGGGGAAAAAAAGGGCAGTAGTCTTTCTTATTTTTTGTTTGATTCGTGTTATCTTTTCTCTGTTGCAGGGTCATTGGTCATTGTACAAGATGTTTAACGCCCCTTTCAACACAGCACGTTTGTTTGTTTGTTGTTTTTTTTTACGAGGCGGCACCTCGGAATTTAACGTCACATCTCCCTTAGAACTGTATCAAATTATCTGTAAGACTATAATGCTCACATACACGTTTCTTATTCCAGAATTGAAAATTACATTTGTAAAACTATTTTTCGATAGTGTGAGAGTAAGGAAAAGATAAACACAGGTCCAGGATTTAAAAAAAAAGTATTCTTGAGCATGATTTGGTGTGAAAGTTAAAAAATAATAAAGTGAAATACACATGTAATATCTAGGTCACAGAAATTGTTTTGTGCATGATGATTCTCAAGCATCTTCAATACTGATGATACAAATCAACTTTGAAAAATAGAGATAAAATTATTTGATTAGAAGCCGCCAATAGTTTTACCTTACCTTCTATAAAATAATATTAACACCAAATAAGAAGCAGAACGTTAGGGCCCGTCAACCGTTTTATAACCTGTGCCCGCTTTTGCCACATTTAAGAGGCTTCTTAATCGTTAGTGCAGTCCATTTATTTATATGTATTTCGATGCGGGCGTGAAATATCACGTCCTGTCACTACCTGGATAGCCTGCCCAATGCTCGGAGCACTTAGAAGGAAATATAAAAGCCCAATCCACAAGGACTTTAAATAAATTTACTGTATAAACTCTTAACTCACAAACATCAATCTGTCACTGCATGGAAACAAGAAAAAGAGTGCGAAATAAGGTGCATCGAGACAATCCTATTACACGGGTATTAAGCATGGACAATCAATAGACAGATGGAAAGAACAGTTGAGGCGACAGAGTTGTGGTTCATACGATGCATGCTGCGTATCCCTTGGACAGCTAGAAAGACAAATGAAGAAGTCTTGGTTGAAGCAAATTGCAGCTTATGGCGAATATACGAAAGTGACAGGCAAATTTAATAGGACGCACAATGTGGAAAGAAGCATTGGGGAATATTGTAACAACAGACAAGTTTGATAGAAAGAGAGGCAGGGGCAGACAGAGGGAAAAGATACTGGACAAGTTGACAACATGGCTAGGAGCAGCAAGAACAACAGACATCATAGCTGCAACGCAAGACTGATGGAAGTGGAGGTCCATGATCGCCCACGCCAGTCGGCAAGGCACCGGATGATGATGATAAACTCTTAGGCCCAACCCTAGGCAGAGAGAGACCCAAAACTATGGCGGCCTGGGGGACTTGCGGCGAACAGCAGCCTTCACACTAGAGACTGGTATGTCCATTTAGCACTGGACGGAAAAAAGACTACTTTTAGATGATCCCCTTCGTCCACCAAAATTACTAAATCGTCCACTAGTTAGTGAGGGATACCGCCCAGTTTAGCAAACAATGCTTCAACCTGAAGGGGGCGTGCGGGTTGCGAAGAGTGTGGGGATACGTAGCGGGGAAAAAAGACATCTAATGGTGGTGCGCTACCTCATTAAAGGTGAGATTTATCACCGCTCAGGTCTGGATGGGAAGATCAAGATTCCGTCTCTTGAAACTCCTGTTGACAATGAGATAAATCTACCCCCAACCGTAGAGCTCCTCTTCCCTCTCCCGACCTCCCCACCCTCTCTCCATCCACCCCCACCCCTCCACTCCTCAACATACACATGACACTTACAGACAACGCACTTTCCAGCGCTACTGAGACAAAACATCCCCGTTCGTTCATCCTATCCCTTCACCCCCGCCCACATCCGTCCCCAAATTAAAAAGACCACAAAAAAAAGACGACCCTCTCCCTACCTGTCCTCTAAAACCAAAGATCTGTGAATAAAATATTACGCTTTTGAATGAGTAATTATTGCTATTTAGAAAACAAAATAGTTTCTTTATTTAACATTAAACTCTAAACTTTACCAACCCCCCTCGCCCCACCACTCACTCCCATGCTAGGAGGTGCGTAGATAATCAAGTGAATTCCGAAATGACGGCTTAATATATTATTATTCTTCCCGAAAGGTGTGAGTTCGATTCCAGGCTTCGATGGGCTGGCTCCTGCATTGTTGAGAAGAGTATGTTACGGACCTTACATTCCTCAGTCCATTCGGGTGCACAACAGAGGTTAGGAAGACTATGGGCCAATTAAAAGGTTTGGTGTACGAATACAAACATTGATTGATTGATTGGTTGGCTGGCTGGTTGGTTGGTTGGTTGGTCTCTTTATCTCTTTCTTTCTCTCCCCCACACACTCCCTCTCTATCCCCACCCCCTCTCCCCCCATACACACACACACTCTTTCTCTCCCCCTCTCCCCTCACTCTCTCTCTCTCTCTCTTTCTTTCTCTCTCTCTCTCTC